ATTACTAATAAAATAATACACACATTGAGTTTGATATGTGAAACATACAAAAATGGTTTTAAACTTGCCATTTTAGTACTTTTTTGCTAAACGTTTAGCTTTAATTTTGCTACAAACCTCCCACAATGTAATTATAAAATGCATTCCTGCTTATCCTAACCCTGAGATTAAATGCATTCAGGATTTTATTTATTTATTTTTTTGCATTGAAATGGTCATCTTACAACCACTTCTGCGCTTCAAATATAGCAAACGTAAAAAATTATACACTCACCGGCCACTTTATTAGGTACACCTGTCCAACTGTTTGTTAATGCAAATGCTAATCAACCAATCACATGGCAGCAGCTCAGGCATATAGACGTGGTCAAGAGGATCTGCTGCAGTTCAGAGCGAGCATCAGAATGGGGAGGAAAGGGGATTTAAGTGACTTTGATCGTGGCATGGTTGTTGCTGCCAGACGGGCTGCTCTGAGTATTTCAGAAACTGCTGATCTACTGGGATTTTCATGCACAACCATCTCTAGGGTTTACAGAGAAAGCGCCAATCATCTCAGACTGGTTTCTTGAACATGACGATGAGTTCACTGTACTCAAATGGCCTCCACAGTCACCAGAGCTCAATCCAATAGAGCAGCTTTGGGATGTGGTGGAATGGGAGATTGGCATCATGGATGTGCAGCCGACAAATCTGCAGCAACTGTGTGATGCTATCATGACAATATGGAACAAAATCTCTGAGGAATATTTCCAGTAGCTTGAAGCATTAAGGCAGTTCTGAAGGCAAAAGGGGTCCAACCCGGAACTAGTAAGGTGTACCTAATAAAGTGGCCGGTGAGTATATTTTAATTTTGTAATTTACATTTAGACTTTTCACAAAAGTCACGCATAATGCTCATTTAAATATAGAAATACATTGCCATTTTACATTATTGCATTGACCTTTTTCATCTTACATCTCTTAATGAATATAGTCACTGTTATGCTTCCATGTGTATGATGCATGATGTGCTTTGACACAGTCTACATTGTGAATAGCGCCATAGAAATAAAGATGCATCAAAATGTTTCCACAGCGCTGCAGTGCAGTGTGTGACCATCAGAGGGAGACATTGGACACGAGCAGCAGAAAAACACACACCGTGATCTTTCATAAAGTGTTATGCAAGTAGGTAGTTAACAACAAACAACCTTTCTGCTAACAAACATCACGTTTAGGTAACATCTTCACTTTTACTTTCCGTGCTTTGTGTTTATAAGCGCTGGTGAATTGCATTATGGGATGTTAATCTCTGCTCAGTCCACTTCTAATGATGTAAATTCAGCTCTACAGTTCAACAAAGTGACTTTTAGTGACATTTTAGTCGTTTGAGAAAATATAAGAGATAATATCTAGAGGACTAAGAGTGTAGAATAACAGAACATGTGCTGCAGTTTATTACAAGCTTTCTGTAGCGTAATATACACCCAGTGGTGTAAAGTAACATTACAAATACTCAAATTACTGTAATTAATTACTTTTTCCCAGAGATGGGTTGCGGCTGGAAGGGCATCTGCTGTGTAAAAACTTGCTGGATACAATCTATTAATCTGGGGTCGCCACAGCGGATTGAACCGCCAACTTATCCAGCATATTTTTTATGCAGCGATGCCCTTCTAGCTACAACCCATCACTGGGAAACACCCATACACACACTCATACCTTACGGTCAATTTTTTAGCCTACCCAATTGACCTATAGCGCATGTGTTTGGACTGTGGGGGAAACCGGAGCACCCGGAGGAAACCCACACCAACATGGGGAGAACATGCAAACTCCACACAGAAATGCCAGCTGACCCAGCTCAGGCTCGAACCAGCAACCTTCTTGCTGTGAGGCAACAGCACTACCTACTGCGCCACTGCGTGAGCCATTTTGATCTAGATTAATTCCAAGATTACAGTGAGATTAATCTAGATTAAACCAAATTAGTCGATGCCCACCTCTAATATAAACACACAAACGCAAACGAAACTGTTGATTAACTGATATTTTCTAGAGTGTGTGTGTGTGTGTGTGTGTGTGTGTGTGTGCGTGTGTTTGGTCACACACTCCCGCCGTTGCTTGTGTTTTTGCCTAGTGTTTCCAGCCCAATCGGAGCGGTTTCCGTCTGAATGGTGGAGAATGGGGATGTGGAGTGCGCAGTGAAAGAGCGCAGCAGTAAAATATATTGTTGTGGAAAGTCTGTCCATTGACGAGCCTCTGGGATCCTGCATGGCCAGCCGCACACAAAGAGGGTGAAACGGTCCAGAAAACACTTTTGTGGCCCTTTTCTGTTCCAGCAGTGCGCGAATAAAGAGGGCCTGAGAGAGACGGGGGCCCGGGAAAGATGGGGGCCCAAGAGAGACGGGGGCTGAGAGAGATGGGGGCCCGGGAAAGATGGGGGCCTGAGAGAGACGGGGGCTGAGAGAGACGGGGGCCCGAGAAAGATGGGGGCCCAGGAGAGACAGCGGGCCCGGGAGAGACGGGGGCCCGGGAGAGACGGGGGCCCGGGAGAGACGGGGACTGTGAGAGACGGGGGCCCGAGAGAAATGGGGGCCCAGGAGAGACAGCGGACCCGGGAGAGACAGGGACCCGAGAGAGACAGGGACACGGGAGAGACAGGGGTCTGAGAGAGACAGGGGCCCGAGAGAAATGGGGGCCCAGGAGAGACAGCGGGCCCAGGAGAGACGGGGACCCGAGAGAGACAGGGACACGGGAGAGACGGGGGCCCGAGAAAGATGGGGGCCCGAGAGAGACGGGGGTTGAGAGAAATGGGGGCCCAGTAGAGACAGGGGGCCCGAGAGAGATGGGGGCCCAAGAGAGACGGGGGCTGAGTGAGACGGGGGCCCGAGAGAGACGGGGGCCCAGGAGAGACGGGGGCCCAGGAGAGACGGGGGCTGAGAGAGACGGGGGCCTGAGAAAGATGGGGGCCCAGGAGAGACAGCGGGGCCCAAGAGAGACGGGGGCTGAGAGAGACGGGGGCCCAGGAGAGACGGGGGCCCAGGAGAGACAGGGGCCCGAGAGAGACGGGGGCCCAGGAGAGACGGGGGCCCAGGAGAGACGGGGGCTGAGAGAGATGGGGGCCTGAGAAAGATGGGGGCCCAGGAGAGACAGCGGAGCCCAAGAGAGACGGGGGCTGAGAGAGACGGGGGCCCAGGAGAGACGGGGGCCCAGGAGAGACAGGGGCCCGAGAGAGACGGGGGCCCAGGAGAGACGGGGGCCCAGGAGAGACGGGGGCTGAGAGAGATGGGGGCCTGAGAAAGATGGGGGCCCAGGAGAGACAGCGGGCCCGGGAGAGACGGGGGCTGAGAGAGACGGGGGCCCGAGAAAGATGGGGGCCCAGGAGAGACAGCGGGCCCGGGAGAGACGGGGGCTGAGAGAGACGGGGGCCCGAGAGAAATGGGGACCCAGGAGAGACAGCGGCCCCGGGAGAGACGGGGGCTAAGAGAGACGGGGGCCCGAGAGAAATGGGGTCCAGGAGAGACAGCGGGCCCGGGAGAGACGGGGGCCCGAGAGAGACGGGGGCCCGGGAGAGACGGGGGCCCGAGAGAGACAGGGGCCCGAGAAAGACGGGGGCCCGAGAGAGATGGGGGCTCAGGAGAGACAGGGGCCCGAGAGAGACGGGGACCCGAGAGAGACGGGGACCCGAGAGAGACGGGGACCCGAAAGAGAAGTGGGCCCGAGAGAGACAGGGGCTCGAGAGAGACAGGGGGCCGAGAAAGATGGGGGCCCGAGAGAGATGGGGGCCCGAGAGAGACGGAGGCCCGGGAGAGACGGGGGCCCGAGAAAGATGGGGGCCCGAGAGAGATGGGGGCCCAGAAGAGACAGGGGGCCCAAGAAAGACGGGGGCCCGGAAGAGATGGAGGCCTGGGAGAAATGGGGGCCCGAGAGAGACGGGGACACGGGAGAGATGAGGGCCTGGGTGTATGGGTGTAGGGGCGCAGGCTTATAATGAGGAGAAACAGATTTGTGTTTCTGCGCTTTAAGTTGAAGAGGTGGTTTGTAGGTGTGTGTGTGTGTGTGTGTGTGTGTGTGTGTGTGTGTGTGTGTGTGTGTGTGTGTGTGTGTGTGTGAGAGAGAGAGAGACAGACAGAGAGAGTGTGTGTGTATGTGTGAGTGAATGTCTGTGCGATTGTTTGTGAGTGTGTGAGAAATTGTGTGTTTGTGCATGAGTGTGTGTGTGTGTGTGTGTGTCTGTGTTCATGTGTGTGTGTGTGTGTGTGTGAATGCATTTGTGAATGTGTGTTTGTGAATGTGTGTGTGAGTGTGTTAGTGAGAGGGCGTGTTTGTACATGAGTGTGAGAGTGTGTTTGTGTATTTGTGTGTGTTTATGTGCGTGTGTGCGCGAGTGTGTGTGTATTTGTGAATGTGTGGGTGTGTGTTTGTGTGTGTGTGTGTGTGTGTGTGTGAGAGAGAGAGAGAGAGACAGACAGAGAGAGTGTGTGTGTATGTGTGTGTGAATGTCTGTGCGATTGTGAGTGTGTGAGAAATTGTGTGTTTGTGCATGAGTGTGTGTGTGTGTGTGTGTCTGTGTTCATGTGCGTGTGTGTGTGTGTGTGAATGCATTTGTGAATGTGTGTTTGTGAATGTGTGTGTGAGTGTGTTAGTGAGAGGGCGTGTTTGTACGTGAGTGTGAGAGTGTGTTTGTGTATTTGTGTGTGTTTATGTGCGTGTGTGTGCGAGTGTGTGTGTATTTGTGAATGTGTGGGTGTGTGTTTGTGTGTGTTTGTAAATTTGTGAGTAGGAAATTGTGTGGCTGTGTGAGTGTGTGTTTGAGTGTGGAGAAACACTCTTTATCTCACACTCACACACTCCCTCTCTTACTGACTGCCATTCTCTCTCTCTCTCTCTCTCTCTCTCTGTCAAACACACACACACACTTTTTTTCAGTCTCTCTGACTCTATCAGTCCCTCTCTCTTACACAGATACACTCTCTCTCTCTCTCTCTGTCAAACACACACACTCTTCTGCTCTCTCACACGCGCGCACACACTCTCGCTCTTACTCTCACACACATATACACACTCTCTCTGGAGTTGTAATGTGACGCAGAGAAACACACAGTCAGACCACACACAGCTCTCCGCTTCACACACACACACACACACACACACGCGAGATTTCTCCAGTACAGGAGAGTTTCTCCAGAGCCGCTGCAGCTCCTGCACGAGCCCGCGTCTGCAGCCAATAAACAGCAGAATCAGCGCGAGGAGCGCAGGAGGGACTTTCAGAGGAGGGTCTCGGTGTGTGTGTGTGTGTGCGCGCGCGCGCGTGTGTGTGTGTGAGCAGCCGAGCGTGAAACAGAGAGCCAGGGAAACAAAGACAAGCAGGACAAGCAGCAGAAACACACTCAAGAACACGGCAAAGATCCTCTCAGCGCTACTCCACAACTCCAGCGCTCTGAGCCGACACCGGAGAGCAGCAGATCAGGGCAGATAACTCTGTTTGGTTTCTCTCTCTCTCCTGAAAGCTCTTCATTGTGCACTAAATGCGCGTCTGTTTCGGCTGAAATCGATCCTCGGGCTCTACGCAATGCAACCGCGTTCGTTTCCCACGCGTTCGTCCCGGTTGTGCGCGCGCGTTTTCCGCTATTTATGTCGCTTCACCTGAAGGAGTGCACATGCAGACATGGGGAGCATCCTCGCGTTTTTCATCTCGTTGCTCATGACGCTGGACGCACAGTTGGTTTGCTGGCAGGCGCTGATCAGATGCCATGAGGAGCGCGACTGCGAGCTCGCCTATAACCAGTATCTGACTGCGTGCGATGGGAATATCCGCGGAAGCAGAAAACAGTGTCCGAGCCACTGCATCAGCGCACTCATCCGCCTCAATCAGACCTCCAGCGGGACGCATTTGGAGAGCTGCGACTGCGGGATCGATGTGGAGTGTTTGCGGGCTAAACGCGCCATCGAACCGTGCATGCCGCGCACGCATCCCGGTGATGCAGAGGGAATGGGATGCACCGAAGCGCGCCAGCGGTGCGAAGAAGAACCAAGGTGTCAGGAGTCGCTAAACGCGTATTTATCCCGCTGCGGACAGCTGTTTAACGGGAGAAAGTGCTCGTCCCGCTGCAAATCAACCATAGAGGAGCTGCTGTTCATGCCCAATGGAGTCCTGCTGAACCAGTGCGTGTGCGACGGGCTGGAGAGGCCGTTCTGCGAGGTGGTCAAACAAAACATGGCTAAACTGTGCGCCATAGGAGACCACAGCATCTCCATTGAGCATGATGGAACAGATGATTTATACGAGGATGAGGATTATGAGGGGAAACCCGACGGTGAGGTGACTGACTCTGACGCGGTGTCCATTTCCAGTGCGCTTACTTTCACTCCACAGGTTGTTTTGATCTGCATTGGATTCGCTCTAGCTGGATTTTAGAGGGATTTTCGACTGGAAATCTACATTTTTTGTCATCATTTACTCGTTCAAGTGGATCTAAATGTAAAATTCTGTCTTCTGTTGGACTTAAAAGTAGATATTCTGATGAATGTTTGCCATTGGCGTCTATTGTAGGAACAATACAACCTACTACTGAAGCTCTCCCCCTGGGATTCTCCAGCTTTAGAGATCAAATGAAGAAACGCATGAAGGTTTTGGGGATTTGTTAATCATGACAATTTCTAAAGCAGGAATACACTACGATATTTAAAATCTTCCCAACTTTAAACACAGTTTTGATCGTCATAGTGTGGTTTAAAACAACATGTATATAATAATAACAGCACGCGACTGCACATTCTGTCATCATTCACTCACTGTAAATGTGCATTTCTGTCTACTGTTGGACATAAAAGTAGATATTCTGAAGAATGTTGGCCTTTGAGGGCGCTGTGGTGGCGCAGCAGATATAGTGCTGAAGCCTTACAGCAAGAAGGTCGCTGGTTCAAGCCTCGGCTAAGTCTGTTTCTGTGTGGAGTTTGCATGTTCTCCTCGTGTTCGCATGGGTTTCCTCCGGGTGCTCCGGTTTCCCCCTAAATTGTTCATAGTGTATGTGTGCATATGGATGTTTTCCAGTACTGGGTTGCAGCTGGAAGGGCATCCGCTGTGTAAAACATGTGCTGGATAAGTTGGTGGTTCATTCCGCTGTGGCGACCTCAGTTTAATAAAGGCACTAAGCTGAAAAGAAAATGAGTGAACGAATGTACGTCTTCATCAGTGTTTAAATGAAGACGGAAACTCAACAAGTGGACGATGAGTAAATGTTGACAGAATTTATGCAGAGTGGAAACACTGAAGGCTGGAATACACTGCGTGATATTTAAAATCATCCCAAAATGATTAATTGGAGAACATCATTATTTGGTTTAAATTTATATCTTGAAATCTGGAATCCAAATCAAGCATCCATTGGCTCAAACAACATATAATTACCGACACAGCTACAAGCTAAAATACTCCAACAACACACAAACCCTTTAATAGCAATGAATATACATAAGTGAACACCTGACCAAAAATAATATCCCTAAAATACAATATTAGGACAGTTTTAGGTGGAGAATCAGTCATTAAATGACTTCCCCTTCATCTTTAATAACTTCTCTGATGGATCAACCTGTCACTCACATGAGGTCCACCAATAGCAAACCACAACCATTTAACGTCCAATCAACTCCCGCTTTATTCTCCAGTTATCATGCTAACTTCCAAATCAGCTTACAGACATGAATGTTTACAAATTCACACAGAACAGACTCTGAAATCAGTGTGCTATAAACACTGAAAAACATCAAATTTGGCTTAATGGAAACTATACAAATCTGAGTAGGTGTCCATCACACGCTACACATGACAAACATACTATAGTAATCAGAGAAAAGGCGACAGTGTTTTTAAACTGTACTGTAGTAAGGTATTGGACTATTTTGTGTAATGTGGCATTTACAACTCATGAACTAATGAATGCTCCAGCAGAATACTGTAGTATACTTTAGTGATTATTGCTACAGTAAACTGTGGTGTATATGAGCAATATCACACTCGTAGCAGTGCGATATGGCTGTATATCGGCACTGGTGGGAGGTGTGCGTGCCGATATACAGCCATATCGCACTGCTACGAGTGTGATATTGCTCATATACACCACAGTTTACTGTAGCAATAATCACTAAAGTATACTACAGAGTACGGAGTAATACACAAAGGGTAAAGAGGCTGTACGGGTGCTGATATTACTTAAATATATCACTGCTATCAGCCAATCAGATTCAAGAACCAGACAGAACTGTTGTATAATATAGTATAATGCACCATGTTGTTGTAGAAAACTACTGTACTGGGCCATTTGTTTACATTACTGTAGTTGCTGTGTTACCATAACAACCATAGTCTCCACAACAGATAAATAAATATAATTGTGTTACCATAGCAACTATAGAATCAAAACCACAGATCAATTACTTTAGTTGTTATGTTACCATAACAACTACAGAATTACCACAACAGATTAATTACTGTAGTTGTTGTGTTACCAAAGCGACTATAGAATCATAGCAACAGAGTAATTACTGTAGTTGATGTGTTACCATAGCAACTAATAAATCACAACAACATATCAATTTCTTTAGTTGTGTTACTATACTTACTACAGAATCACAACAACAGATCAATTACTATAGTTGTTGTGTTACCATAGCAACTGTAGAATCATCGCAACAGATTAGTTACTGTAGTTGTTGTGTTATCATAGTGACTATAGAATCACCGCAACAGATTAGTTACAGTAGTTGTTGTGCTATCATAGTGACTATAGAATCATAGCAACAGAATAGTTGATGTGTTACCATAGCAACTGATAAATCACAACAACTTATCAATTTCTATTGTTGTGTTACCATAGCAACTACAGAATCACAACAGCAGATCAATTTCTATAGTTGTGTTACCATAGCAATAATAGAATCACAATAACAGATTAATTACTATAGTGGTTGTTACCATAGCAACTATAGAATCACCGTAACAGATTAATTACTGTAGTTGTTGTGTTACCATAGCAACTAATAAATCACAACAACAGATCAATTTCTATAGTTGCGTTACCATAGCAACTACAAAATCACAACAACATATCAATTACTATAGTGGTTGTGTTACCATAGCAACTACAGAATCAACACATAGCTGTAGAAAACTACAGTATCGTCTCACTTTTTTACAATACTGTAGTTGCTGTGTTACCATAACTGTAGAATCACCACAACAGATTAATTACTGTAGTTGTGTAGCAACTAGAGAATCGCCACAATTGGTCAGTTAGTGGGTCTGTTACCATGACAACTCTGGAATCGCAACAGATTAATTACTATTGTGGTTGTGTTACCATAACAACTACAGAATCACCACAACAGATTAATTACTGTAGTTGTTGTGTTACCATAGCGACTATAGAATCATAGCAACAGATTAATTACTGTAGTTGATGTGTTACCATAGCAACTAATAAATCACTACAACATATCAATTTCTTTAGTTGTGTTACTATATTTACTACAGAATCACAACAGCAGATCAATTACTATAGTTGTTGTGTTACCATAGCAACAATAGAATCACAACAACAGATCAATTACTATAGTTGTTGTGTTACCATAGCAACAATAGAATCACAACAACAGATCAATTACTATAGTACTTGTTACCATAGTAACTATAGAAACACCACATCAGAACTTTACTATGCCACAGGTTCTGTACTATAGAATGGTTCAAAAACACTGTAATATTTACTATGAGTCACTCTAGTATTCTTGTCTGTAGGCTGGAAATCACATCTGTCCAGAAACGGAGTGTATTCCACACCTTTGAAGCTCCGGCACAGCAACGTTTGTCCAGTTTTGAAAGCTCTTTTTAGCTCTTTGTGATGTTTGAGACTCTTTCTCTTGAAGTGTCTCTTTAGTGAGACTGGAGACACACACAGTGGACGTGTGTCGAGGGTTTGCTCAGCTCCTACGTCCAGCGGACTCTCATTGTACTCAAATCTTCAAATATTTGCAGTGCTCCACTGATAAAGGAGCCTGTTTTGGGATCAAGTGCTTCATTTAAGTGAAGAGACCCTTCAAAGCTGTCGAGTGGCCTCCGGCGCACTCCTTTTCTCTCACACTTCAGTTGTATTGGAGTTTTGCTGCTGGATGTTTGACCGTTTGATCGCCGTGCAGCCTTCACATCCGACTCAAACGTGTTCTCGTATGCTGGAAACCAACACCAAGTGCCTGAACAGATGTACTGAGGTTAAGCCTGACGTTTGTGTCTCCATACTAGCTGATGTTTGTTTGCAACTGTATTTGTGCGCATATAATGAATGATTAGCGATGTTACACAGGACTAGTGTCCAGAAGCACACTCGACACACGCATCTGAATGCAAATGCAATGCTTACTCACTGTTGCAACATTAGGCATGGGATGATAACCGTTTTCAAGGTATACCACGGTTTTCTGCTATTCGGTTCCTAAGGTATGTGTGCAATTCTTTTAATTACGTTTTTTTATTTTTGGTATTTTTAGGACAACAGTATCTCCAGCAGAAAAGATATTTAAAGATGCCATTTTAAACTGTAAACAAATCTGTTTTTGCAGAGTCAGTAATTCATTTAGCCTGACATGTTTACTATGAGGCGGCGCAGTGGCGCTGTTGGTAGTGCTGTCGCCTCACAGTAAGAAGGTCGCTAGTTTGAGCCTCGGCTTAGTTAGTGTTTCTGTGTGGAGTTTGCATGTTCTCCCTGTGTTGGCGTGGGTTTCCTCCGGGTGCTCCGGTTTCCCCCACAGTCCAAACACATGCGCTATAGGGGAATTGGGTAAGCACTGATCACAATACCGTGCTGCTGTGATATTTTTATCTAAGGCAGTGGTTCTCAAACTTTTTTCACCAAGTACCACCTCAGCAAAAGAATTTCTCTCCAAGTACCACCATAATGACCAGTATCGAAATAGTATAGCGTATAGTCTTAATTAAGCAGCTACAGCTCTGCACAGTTCAAAAACGTGGCAGATTAATTCCTATTTTTATGAATATGTATTATTGTCAGCCACTTTTAACAATATTAATAGTTTGAACATTAACCAAAACATTAAATATAAATAAAACATCAATGTGTGCTGTTGAAAGTTAATTAAAAATGGCACTGTTCTTAAAGTAAACAGAAAACTGCTGATCTTAAATCTAAAGTATTAACATAGTAGCCTATTCATTAAAACCTGGAAATGTTCCTTGGATATCATCATATTCATTTATAAACTCTTTTTGATCAATTTTTAAATATATAGTACATATATACTTATTTGTGTATCTTTGAAATCTAAACATTACTTCTAATGTTTCTAAACATTCCTTGTATTTTAAATATATATCATATATTTACATATTTAAATTAGAAACTAGATCACTAGATCTGCTTACTGCGCGTTAGAGTAGGCTTTGTGTGTCAGAAAAGGGATTAAACTATAGCTGTCAACCTTAGGATATAAAAATATGGAATACGCAATAACAACTATTAAAAACATGGGAAGACAATTAGCTTCAAATGATGGAATACAAAACAAACATTAAAAAAATTAAAATAAACTAAAAGGTTTAGACTATTAAAATCAATTTACTGATCACATCTGTGTTATCGTATGCGTTAAAAGTGTGTTAATTTTTTACTTTAATTATTCAGCAATTCCTCCGCCTACTACTAGAAAGAAGTCTGCGTACCACTAGTGGTACACTTACTACAGTTTGAGAAGCACTGATCTAAGGTTATCACACTGTCAGAATCTTATATCAGCCCATGTCTAGTAGGTGTATATGTGGGCTTATGCGTGTGTGTGTGTGTGTGTGTACATACAGCACTAAACCAGACACTAGCTGGGTTTCTATGCTATTTTGAAATATCGACAGAAATGCCCAATTTTTAATAAAAATGTCTACATTTGCAAACTGAAATGAGCTTGAAGTGGTTTTGGACTACTGCAGTAAAGAGTTGC